GCGAAAGCCGGCCAATATGGGACAGCAGCAGGTGTTCGATTGTCCACAATTAGGTAAAAAAGTAATTTCTTTGCAACCGGGTTGTCAAAATGATCCGGGTTCCCAAAAAAATCTGAACTGCGATACATGATGGGGGCTGATGATGTTTGCCAACATCTGGCCTCAACTCCATGCCATGATGGAGGTTATGATTTTTCTCAACACCTGGCCTCAACTACATGATGGGAGGGTGATGATTTTTGCCAACATCCAGCCTGAGCTACATGATGGGAGGGGCAGCATGAATGTATACCCCGGCCTAGAACTGTAAGTGTCCTGAACCCTGACATTACTAACCGCAATCTCACACACGCTTCCATCAGAAGCCGGCGGTTTTTTTCTTAATTAATGTTTGTGCCTTTCAGGCAATTGACCCGGACGACCGTCCAGATCTTTGTGTAACAGTTCAACTGGAATGAGAAGTGAAGAGTCGGCCATTTGCTGCCACGCAGTGCTGCTGTGTTGGCTCATTGACCAGTGGTCACTTGGTTGCCTGCTGATGTTTGAAGCAGTGACCGCAATGCACACAGCTTAGCTTCATAGTTTCATAGTTGGAGAGTCACATGTCAATATGTTCATATTTCTTTGGTTGCTTGTATCAAAGGTCGAGTTCTGAAGACGAGAGGCCTCCACCACCAAAGGGAAAACACGCCTTGTCCATGAAGGCTCCAGATTGGCATTTTTTTGTACAATATAATTCATCTTTATATTATATTTTGCTGTTAGTTCCAAATGCCAGGTGGTCAGGAAAGCTCAGCGCAAAAAGGTGATCAAGGGGACAAAAGGTAAGAGATGTGTGAGACCTTTCAAATTGAAAGACTATGAGAAGGCCATTTGACCACTGCATCTCTTTGTACACCAGATGCTGCAGGTGAAACTGTTCACCTCAAACTTACAACAGTTTTGGGTTCAGAGAAGATCTAGTTTTTGCATGGTCAGGCACGGATGCCTTTGCATGCGTCCATCCGCGCAGATGGAAAGATGCACATCGCGAAGATCAATTTGCTGAAGTGTGCGCCCGCAAACGTGAAGGTGGCCACCACCTCATCATTCAGCGCTTAGAATCTTATAACTGTTTTGAAATGGTGCACGCCCTGTGTGCAAATGGTCGTCAAGGTCAGCCACCGCCATCATGGTGGCAAGAAGGCTAACGGGGCCACCATTTTCACTGGGAGCAAGACGTTCCGAAGTTGGAGTTGTTTATGCCGGGCACTTCAAAGAGTCATTTTTTTGCAACCGTCTGTTCTGTGTTCTATTGAGGCGTGTTTGGAGCCTCGTACCGTTGCACGAAGTCCGAAGTTTCAGCGCGTGGCATATCGGTCCCTGCCTTAAGGACTTAAGCCATGTTTCTTAGAGCATTTTGGCAAGTCGGGATTGAGGATCTTTCAAATCAGATTGGACATTGGGATGTCTATCGTCGACGGCTCCGGGAACTTGGCCAATCCCCTGGGCAGTTCTTGGCGCCAATCACTGCAGAATGGTTCAGTGGTGCCCTGGGTCTGTTTTCAACACTTACAGTGTGTTCTTGTTGAGACTTTTATTTGCCAGGCCTCCCAACTAATTGGACGAAGCCAACGACTGGCCAAGTCTCCGCAAAGAAAGCAAATGACATGTTCTCAGCACAGGCCCTTGCATGTTTGTCAGTGTGCAACACTTGGTATTTGACAGGGTTGTGCGCCAGGCATTCACTTCCTTGGGCAGGCCAGTGCCTTGCATATCCCTCTTCACAGGGGTAGCCGGTTTGGAGTTTGGACTCCACCAGTCGTTCTGGCTCGATTGCTTTTAAATCAGATTTCAGTGACAATGTGAGTCTTTCCGCGACCCTTCATGCAAGATATGATGGGAGTTGCGTTGCGTGTTTTTTGCTCAAGGGCATGTGTCTTGAAAACCTGCCGACTGCGTACCTAACCAATTCTATGGATGGCTGGCAAACAGTGCGCACCACTGGTGTGAATCAAATCAGGCCAGGCACTGATTCTCATTACCAAACAAAAAAACATGCATGAGTCTCATTTGTGCATTGCGTCGCAAGTGTCATGTTTGTTCAATTGCCCGTACAGGGTCCTGTGTGGCGCTCCGGTCTGGTGCAAATGGCAAAAGTCTACGTACAGGGCTTACCCGGTGGTGTAGGGAGACCGATTCCTTAGATGCGTGTTTTTAGCTTATTGGCAAGGTGTTCTAGAGTGACCACTTTGTTTTGACTTGATGGCCGTATGCTGAGGTGGCTTTGGGACCGCAACAGGTGGATTGAGTGCTCACAAGATGAGCTGCGCAACATGGGAGCAGGGCACTTAGGGACCAGCCAAGGGTCAACAAGACCACATGAACATGTTGAGAGGCCAGAAGCAGTAGAGCCGTCAGAGCCAGCGTTTAAGCGACTTCGGTGACAAAGAAAAACAATCCGACGCTGAGCTGAGCCATCACACTAGCAATCACTTACGATGACTTTCAGTTGTACTTGACTTTTTGCACCACACAAAACTCACCCAAGTCACAAAACTGTGAGTTTGTTGTGTGCCAGTTGGCTGAAACCTGTTGCGATGGTCCCTCCCTGAGTGATGCTAAGCGCCGCTATCTAGACGCTGGTGAGTCTGTGTGTCTCAGGTTGAACAAGCCGATTTCGCAGTGCGTGTCCTGGAGTCACGGCAACGTGATGGCGTTTTGCCTGTTTGTTCCATCTACCGGGACGCCAGAACGTACATCCCTGCTGGGCATGAACGTTATGCTGAATGGGTGACCGCTGGTTTCCCGTGTCAGGCCCGCCAGTGATTAATTTTGATTTTCTGGGAGCAAATGTGAACACCTTTTCCAAAGTGCGTGAGTCACTTCCTGCAGGGCGTATCAACTGCCGGCTTCCAGCGGGGGCTGGATGACACTAGGTCGTCGCTAGTCAGTGAGCCCTTCCGAGTGTTTGATGCACTACCGCATGCGTGGGGCCCTTGGCAAGCAAAGCAGTTGCATCATAGCTACTTTAGCCCTAGTTCCACTCCTTGCTGACTCGATTTGAAGTGAGGCAAGGCATTTTGCTTGAGAATGTGAAAGCCCTCCTCTCGCAAAAGAAGAGCTGTAGAAAGCTCTTTGCGTTCATTTTGAAGGAATCTTTGCGTTCCTTTGTTTTGAAACGTTTGAGCTCTTGTGACAGCGCCTGACTGCAGGAAGCGCGGAAGAGGGGGCTTGAAGTTTCTTGGACGACCGTGTCGCTGGCCAACGTTGGACTGGCAGTCTGGTTCTCAGTAGAATTCCGCTGCTTCCAGTTGTCAAGACCTAGTCACGCAAAGTGTGAGGCTCAAAGGGGCCGTGTTTTCCTCGTGGCAAGTCGCTCTTCTTTCCGATTTCCGGACTGCGTGTTCACCACAAGTAAAGTGATGTGTTTGAATGCAGGATTGAATCTCACCATTGTGCACACTATTCAGTTTCGGGCCAGGACCTCTTCAAGGCCGACATCGATTTGAGCAAGCCGTGGAACCCTGGAAACGCAGTGCCAGTCGAAGATTGGCTCACTGACTGTTTTACACCGGAAGATGCAGACCGTTTAAAGTGCATGGGAAACATCGTGGTTCCTGTCCAAGCCCGGAAAGCGTTGAGCGTCCTCACCAAGATCCATTCGTTGAACAGAGAGTAGTTCTTAGAACCATGACAATTTGTTTGTTCTTTGATTTTCAGGAAGGTTTGTAAACTTGAAGTGTGTAGCTCTGACATTGACATCCTGATTTGTTTGGTGACCGTTGATGGTTGAACCTGTTCAGCGGCCGGATCTATCAGGATGCCTCAAGCAGTGCCTATATAATTCATGACTCCACCTTGATCGCCAGCTTTGAAGTGCAAGTCAGGGCTCCGAAGCATTTCTGTTGGATTCAAGATATTCTTGTCACGCTGTAAATAGAATTTTTGTTTGATCCAAGCGAGCCCAACTAATTAAAGTTTTCCTAGCTTGAGTGTGTGCTCCTTTTGCTTCCCAGGCTGCGCTCTCAGTTTCTGAGTGCGTCAAAGTTTCCAAACAAAAGTGGCTTGTGTGGGATCTTGCAAACCTGAGGCTTGAGCAATCGAGATTGGTGTTTTCGCGGACAGGTGTCCATGGCAAGTTTGGGGTCAGAATATATGTTTTTGGTATGAGCTGACGTGATTGCATATGTCTCAGACAATGTGTTGACAAGCCCTGAGCCAGGGGAGCAGTTGGTCGGCTGTTTGTTGGGTCCTCATTGGGTCTGCCCACAGACCTTACTGCTGTGCACACGAGTGTATTTGAATCTACTGGTAAAGTGCGATTGAAATCAATATGGATGAAGAGTGCTACAAACAAGTCACACCTGGCAGCTTGCTGTTATCATCTCAAAGCTCCACAAACATTGTTTATCTAATTCCTTTTGGCTGTTCGTTTCCTCTGGAACACGCAGATTGTGTGATTCTAATCTGATTGGCGAATAAAGCAAATGGAGCATAAGCTTTAAGCCGCAAATCAATGTCTTCTAAGCATTGGTTCTTGCTTTATTACACCCATGTCTACTAGTCTGAATCGTGCTTCCGCCCTTGCCCCTCGCAAGCATGGCAGCTTCTTTGTCATGGTTTCCTCATGTTTCAAGATGTGGATCGGTTGAGTAGTGATGGATCTGACTCGCTTGGTGGTGCTCCGGTTGCTGCTGCCAAGAGAGCAACCAATGCCAAGCGGGAACGATCCAAGCCCAAGCGCAAGCCTCTTTCTTTAGAGCAGAGTCTCCGGTGTGCGCTTGGGAAAGCTTGCAAATGCAAGCAAGGATGCATGGCAGTTTTCAGCCAACCAGAACATTTTTCCAAGCTTCAGGAGTTCAGGAAGAATTGGGAAACTCTTCACAAGCTCGACCAAGATCAAGTGGCAACTTATCTTAGATCATGTATGGAATGTTCTTGTGGGAGGGCTAGTTGAAGTACTTAGCTGTCTAGCAACCTTTCTTGTCCGTTTGGACAGTCGTTGAGCAAATGTCAAGGCATTTGAACGCATACGCCGCATATTGCGGAGACATGGACAAGAAGGTGGAGATGACGATTCCGCTGTGAGTAAGACTCAGTGGGAGATCTTGGGCAAAGCGGTTTGTGTAGGGGCCTGGAAGCGGCTTCATTCTTTGGGTGGCTTGGTTGCTTTCCAACTCCTTTTATTTCCTTCTGTTGCTTAATGCTGGCCCAGTCTGAGAAGACTTCAACAACCAGATTAAATTAAATTTTAGCAGCTTCAAGCCTTAGGTTCACATCGATTCCAGCGACTGGTTGAGGCTGCTCGCCGTGGTGATGTTGTTCCGCCAGTCGATCAGCGATTTTTGAAGAAGGGAATCCCTGCTGCTCAATCCAGGGATTCTGACACATCCCGGGCCAGGATCATATCGTTCCTCCGTCAGCTGTATGAAAGCGTCGCCGAGACCCTGCCGGATGTGCGGGACGATTCCTATGAGTTTGACAATGCAAGCGTGGTGTTGGACATACCTGAACTTAGTGATCCTTACGCAGAGGCTATGAGCCAGAAGAGCCAGGACATCAAGCCCATGGCAGATTCAAGCGTGAGGGGTGGAAAGCGAAAGATTCGCAAGAAGAAGCGGTCTGTTGTGATAAGTTCAGAGCGGAAAGCGGAGGAGGACCGCTACCTACCGCCCGGACAGATGAGAGATTACTGGGAGCAGTTCAAAGCCGCTGAAGGCTCTGACTCTGGAAAAGTTCCTGTTTTTTCGACATTTTGGCGGGCGTGGCTCCAAGAGTTCAGTTTTCTCAAATTCCGAGCGCAGTCAAGCCATTCGATGTGCTCAACCTGCGTCCGTCACCGCTTCTTAATCCGAGAAATGTCGGGGCATCTCAGAGCGCGTGAGGAGCAGCAAAGTCTTTACACATTGCATCTTCGGAAGCAATATTTTGACCGGGTATGCTATTGGGAGCTTCGTGGACTATCAAGACTGCGATCCTTTGATGCCGTCCTTATATTGGACGGCATGGATCAGGCGAAGTTCGCCTATCCGCGCTCAGACTTCTTTCGCACGAAAGAGTTGGCAGGAGTTCAACGGCCCCGAGCCCACATCTCCGCTTGCATTCTCCACGGCCGCAGTGTCATCTTCACTGTCTCTCCAAGCAATCTTGCAAAAGACGCAAACAGTTGCATCGAAACAACAGCATTTGCTTTGTCCTTGCTTTCAAAGCACGTAGACCTTTCAAGGATCACGTTGCACGTACAGAGTGATAACACGGTGCGCGAAGTCAAGAACAACTTCTTCATCCGATGGATGTCGAGCCTCGTCGCACATGGTTTCTTGGCCTTTGATACAGAATCAGTTCTGTATGCGATGAGGTCCCAAACACCATGATGGGGTTTGAACCAAAACTTGACATTCGTGCGCCCACCCTTGTGAAGGGATGTTGTCATGTTGTTTCATTGTCATTCAAAAGCTTCAAGGTGTCGTGAGGAGTGCCCGGATGCGTCAACTACGCTCCGGGCACTCCCACGAAGATATAGATCAACTTTTTGGTCAACTGGCGAGTCATCTCAACAAGAAGGCCAGAAGGGCCAATGGACCGCATGACTTCCGTGATATCATCCAGCATTGGCTTGACAATGTGCTGATCCGTCCTCACGAATCGGAAAAGCTCGCAGTGGTCTTAGACCAATGCCGTGACTGGACGCTCGTAGTGGATTAGATTCTGTTTCATTCATTATTGATTAGGGTTGGTGGTGGAGAGTTGCTCCCGATTGAAATTGGAAGCTGTTGTTGTGCAAGGAGATCGTATTTGGGGCCTGGCGTGCCTGTGACTCTCAAGGGCATAGGGGGCCCCAAAGCTCCGCGCGTGCTGGAGTTTGACCAACGGCAGTATTTGAGCGCACTGCTTAGCAGCGCAAAGACTTCTGAATGATGGACTGACTTGTGTGTCTAAGGAGGGTTGGATTCTTTTGTACTGACCAAGTATGTTCATCAAGTAAGGTCCCGATGTAGCAGCTTCAGCAGCGGATCCCTTTTGGAAGTTGGCCCCACACCCTCGGGATGTCATTCTCCGGAGACTTGGGATGAGATTGATTGGTAGGCTTCATTTCAATTTACTTAAGACTGATTTGAAGTGTGTGCGTGTGTGCTAATTATGCCCCTCAACAAGTGAAAAAGACATGCCTACGGTTTCCCTTTTCAAAACACAGAGGACCAAACATTTCATGGCGGACACAGACTACAATTTCTCAGCGGTGTACTTCCCCTACGAAGTGGCTCGAGTTCGGCTTCCGCTGGGGCTGCCAACGGGGGTGGCTCCCAGAAAGGAGATCCCAGAGGATTTCAAGCAGCAACTCTTAAAGGCGATGCCGGGGATGAGGAAGTATGGGCTTGAGTCCGCTGCCATTTACCTTGAGCAGTGGTTACAGGACAGCTTGCCATTGGAACCCTTGTTGGACATATCAGCGTAGCTTGCAAATTCAATAGACGTTCACAATCAGCATTTTTCATTGTTCAGTGTTTTGTTGTTCACCTAGATGTTCACTTGTTGTGGCCCCATCGTTTGCTTCCCAGGTGCGCTGCCTATCCTGAGCAGCCTTCCACTGGTGACCTTGCGCCATCTGTGCAAGATTTGGAACCAGAACCAGGTCTGTTGCAGCTGCGTGGCTGCAAGTTGAAGGTGGTTTGATGCGACTGGTGTGCGTGTGTGTGGTGTGTGTTTGTTTGTTTATGGGTATGTGTGCTCGAATGCATCGTGTGTTGTGTGTGTGTTCAACCATCCAAGAATCACGAAAGAAGCCACCTGATGACGAGGTTGGCGGCTGCAAAGGATGATTCGACTCACGCAAAGCACTACGTAGCGGCTGCAAAGCGCAACATTGCGCTGGTCGCAGCGGCTCGCGCGTGGAGGCACGGTGTGCCCTGGGATGAGGCATACGAGCTGTGTGACAAGGCAATCCAGAAAGCTTCAGCAAAGCTGAAGTTGAAGCCTCTTCCCAAGAGAGGGGCTCGCGCAAAAGCCCGGCTTTGAATCGCCTGTTTGTAGGATATCGTATTGTTTGATTCTATATAAAGGATGGTGGAAAGATCAACCCAATGTTGGATGGATTCTAAAGCTCGTGGACCCTGTATCGAATCGGCTTCTGCACTAAAGTGTGACTGCGGCTTCACAATGCTCAAGGCATGAAGAAAGTCACAGCGCTTTTCAATCAGCTTTTCCCAGCCATGTGCTGTTGGGTTGTGTGGCAATTGGTTTCGATTCTGTACACTAACACGTTCAAGTACTTTCCAACTGCATGCCTTAGAAATGGATCATTTTTTTTGAAGACAAAGTGCAGCCTGAGGCGCTCAGTCCTCAATTCCCTGGAGTGTGCCCTATGTTCTTTATCTTGTAGTTGGTTGGCTGCTTCTGTTGAAGATGTTTTTCTTGAGTGCACTACATACGCAGGCTTTCTTGCTTGGACGGTAGTCTCTTTGTAGTGGATCCGGAACAGCGACCGATCCGCTGGTTCGTGGGATTCTTGCAATGGACCCAAAGCCATTCCAAAATGAGACACACGAAGCTTCTTTGCAAGGAAAGCAGCGGTTACCAGTACCTTCTTTCTGCCATCATTTCATGAACTGAATCAACATGACAATGACTTCGAACCTTCTGCAGGACATTTAGATGGTGAAAAGTTGACCGCAATTCTTGCTTCACAGGAGGACAGGCCTTTGCTCCGTTGACTTGTTTCATCGTGTGGACCATCAGGACTTGAAGCGGAAAGGTTTGATGACCCAACCTGGTGTTTTCCAAGTCTGGTACTACAAAGCATTTGCAGGCGCTCATTGTTCATTGGGTCATTCCTAGTTCACTTGCTGTGATTGCGCAGCCACCACTGTTCAACGCATGCCAGGTGACATTGTGGCAAATGGCTACCACGGGACCGCGCTCTTTTTTGCTGGTTTCGAAAACCCTGCAGAAGAAAGTCATCAAGTTGAGAAAGTTTTGCTGCTTGATTCATGTGGCTTTAGAAGTTGCAGCAAGCTGTTCACTGTCCATTTCCCACCGATCATCATCGCAACAAAACCCCTCGCACTGGTTCTTCCATTGGCTCAGGGTGGCCTATGACAGGTTTGCGTCGTGGCTGGATCCAGCCCAGCTTCCGCCAAACACCAATGAACGGAGACACGTCATGTTTAGTGTGTATGGCCATTGGTTTGTTGAAGAACCACAGATTGTATTGCTTCCAAGCCCTTTGGTGGGTTTGAGTGATATGCCAATCCCAGATGCGGCCACGGCGGACATTGTTGGAGTTCCAGTGATTCGCATCTCTCTTGAAAAGTTTGGTGCCATTATGGGTGGAGTGCAAAGCCGTCAGATTGAGGCCCGAACAAGTGACTCGTCCATAGGATTGTAAACTGCTCTGAATGTTGTTCATGTGCGTTGGAAGTCCTCGTTGTGCACCTAACTGAAAGCTGGCTTTTTGGGGCTCAGTCTTCTGAACTGAGAGTCAGTCTGGTTTGATGAAGGGTGGATTCAAACGGTTGTTAGAGTTTGTTCAGTTTCACTTTTTTTTGATGTTATGGCCTTTACCTCCATGTTGGCGGTGAGGTGAGGACACTCCCAGCAGTCCCTTGCAACGCTGACAGAGGTGCATCTTGAGGGGTTGGGAAACTGGAAGGACTCATTGGAAAACGGCTGCGCAGCGCCATGTTGTAATTTTACACTTTGGATTGGGGCGTGAAATCTGACCCCCACAAGTCCTACTCAAAACCCACTTTTGAAGGTGCAAACAGGACTTGCGGGGGTCAGATTCCATCTAGCCAACTGAGCACCAAAAATTATCTGCGGCAGTGACATTTAGGGGGGTCGCGTGCGGGGTTGCAAGCATTTTTTGGCAATCATTGGATTTCTTTTTTCGCTTTCGGAGTCTGATCCCAACTCGAATCAGACTCTGCGCCCACTTGTCTGTTTGGAGATTCTTGTGGAAGCCGCCCGAATCCGATCTCAGGGCCAATTCACTGATTCACCTAAAATCGTTTTTTTGCATTGGGGGAGCAATGAACAAACACTGAAAAATGATGGTCAAATATTAATTACATAAATCCGACCCTAATTTTTGTAGGGGAGGGAAGCCATTTGTTCTATTCAGAGTTGGATTTGCCAAAAACCCGACTCTCAATCTTTTTGGGGGCATCAGCGGAAAACAGAATTGAGAGTCGGATTTGAGGTCAAATCCGACTCTGAATGCTTGCTTGACTGAATGTGATTTGAGAGTCGGATCCGACCTCGGATCCGACTCTCAACCAGTGGTGGGCTCAATTCTAAATTTTTGGGGCTGCTGCCAGGCTCCACCTTGCTCTTCAAAACCATGCTTTGGAGTCTGATCCGACCTCAGATCCGACTCTGAATGACCGTTCCTGAAAAGCCAATTGCAGAGTCTAATTTGGGGCTTTTGATTTGTATCATGGAGCCAGATTGGTTTTTCGGAACCATGCGCCTGACAGGCCTCCCGGGTCTGTGGCTTATCTTCCTAGCGTTGCGCGAGTGATGAGCGACTTCTACTAGCTGTCCAGTTTTGGCGTCCTTTGTTTTGCATCCTTTGCGTGGTGTGAGAGTTCGATTGTCAAGCTTGTGATTTGGTCGAGCCAATCGGGAAGAAAAGGCTTTGCAGTTCATTATTTGTTCCATGAACGAGGGGCCTTGTGGATGAGTGCGTTTTTTGGGTGCCATGTGGCTCGCTCCATTCCTGCCAGGTACATGCGTGGCTCTGGATTTGTGGCAATTAAATAGCTTGGAGGCCTGAAGGGGAGAGACATGGTTGATTGTCATTCGGTTGGCAGATGTCTAAAGCGCAAGACTTTGGTAAGCCGGAAACAGCCAACAAAAAAGTTCTCTTGTTTGAACTATGAGAAGGGAGAATTGGGGAGAATGAAGGAATGGGGAAAACGGTGAAACAAGATGTTCATTCGCACTTCTTGTTGGTTGGATTGAGGTGTCACTGGATGCTACTTCTTGGAGCTGCCAGTGGCTTATACCAGTCAGTCACTCAATCAACCACAATGCGGGGTTCAACAGCTTTTCAACATTTTTGGTTTTGGGGGTGGCTTCATATTGAAGCTACACCCAACACAAGAGGTTCATTGTTACAAGGTTTCACCAGGGGTGTGAACTTCAGGTTGACGCTAGTTGTTACAGAACAAAGTTTCGAATGTTAGTCTTAGTGCAGGGACTGTTACAACCTCTTTCGATGCAGAAGACATCAGTTCTCAGGGTGCAGAACGCCTCTGCCCCATTGACGCAGACGATCAGCCTGGGAACTCAAAGTCGTGGATTTTATTTGCAGTGACACCGTTCACTATCAAGAGTGCACGCCTTGTTTGTGAGCGGTTCGGTGTGGTCAGTCTTTTTGCAAACAATGTGCTTTTATGATGCTGCAGAGAGAAGAGGCTCAGGGTAATTTAACACGCTGCGTCCGCAATGACATCGATCGCTCGTGAGTGTTTCCAGCTGGTCAGCAGGAAGGGTGATGCCTGTGGGCTGCAACTGCTGGGGAGCTTTTGGTGCGTGCAGCGCTTTCGGGAGGGTTTGCCTGATGAGTTGAAGGGCCGCTGCGAAGATTTGGAAGGAGTTCTTGGCCGCTGCCAACATGCCGTGGAACTTGCCCTTACTGCCCAGCCGGGCGTCGCTGCGTCAACTTTTGCCCAGAGAGCCCAAAGACCTCTAATTAAGGGAAAACCATCTAATTAAGGTAAAGCCCTTTAAAAACAACCTCTATTTAGAGGTTAATCCTTTAATTAAAGGTCTTTACCCCTTAATTAGAGGTCTTTGGTCCCTTAAAAAAGGTATAATCCTTTAAATAAAGGGTTTTGGTGCTAAAAAACATACAACCCTTAAATAAGGGGTTTTGATGGCTCATGATTGGTGGGAAAAACATGTCAAACACATGTTTAGCTGACATGTTTAATCTGGTGAAACCTCCTGTTCCACTAAAGGAGGTGCCTCCTACATGAAGGAGCATTGTATATTTTTATCATATTAGTTGTATATTGTCTTTTTGAAGGAGAAGCCTCCTGCAAAGGAGACTTCTCCTGTTACCCCATCCCAACCCAGCAGCTGCAGCACCTTTTTCTCAAAGCGAAGGGACCTGGTGCAAGGCTGCAAACTTATGGAACATGCCTTGTGCCACAGCCAAGCAACTGAGGTTACCTCCTGGGCTTCTAGCAAGTTCTGACATTTGCCCTCCCCAATCCTCATCTCTGTAGGTCCACCCAGTGGATGGGGAGGCTTTGGGGTCAAATGTCAGTTCCAAGAACAAATGTAGTTTTGGGGTAACCTTGAAAAGTTGTCGACCTTGCTGGACAGAAATTTGGTTCAAGGTGACATACAAAGCAGCAAACTTCAAAGCTTCTCTGTGCAAAGCACTTGGTTCACACACTTGCTGGCTCAATTGCTGGTAGCAATTGTGCAAATGCTGGGCACATTGGATGACTGCAGCTTCAAAAGAATCTGCATTGTTGAGCAATACTGTGCATTGCAACAAAGAAAACAAAATCAAGCCTTTTGCCTCTCCTGCTTTGGCTCTCAACTTAGGAGAAGTAGAACTGGAAGACTTTTTCTTGTCTTTGTAAAGCATGGAAGCCTTCAGCAAAGGCATTTGGGAATCAATGGCATACTCCTTGTAGTAGTTCTTCATGCTGACATGCAAAGCTTTGCACCTCTGGTCCACATTGTTCCCAGGCAGCTTCTCTGACAACAGGACAAAGACAGAGGCTAAAGGTCATACATAGAGAAATAAAATATGAATCACTAGGTTTATGGTAAATAAGATATTCATGGTCAATGCTCATGTATGCATAGGAGGTGGTGGCCCTTCTCCTGCTGTGCCAAAACCGGAAGAAGTGCCTGCACCAGCTGCTGCTGCCACCGCAGAAGTTCCCAATGGGGGGGGGCGTCCCCCCTGAAGCTCCCAATGAGGCTGCCAATGAGGTTGAGGAATCTCCCAATGAGGAGCCCAAGCCAGAGCCTGGGGCCAAAGATACTGAGAACTGAATATCTTCTCACATATCTTCCAAAGCCATCTCAGCTTGAAAAAAAGGTGTTGCTTTGCTGTGCTGGGTGGTGATGGATGATAAAGCTCCTTGGTGGGCAGGAGCTACAAAAAATAATACCTCCTGAACTAGGAGGTCAATAATCAATGGTTGATATGTTAAAAAAACCTCCTGGGATTAGGAGGTATATAAATAATTTAGGGCTTCTACAAAGACCAACCATTTAACTTCATTTAACTTCATTTAACTTGGTCCATTTAACTTCATTTAACTTAGACATTTAATTGGAAATGCTTTCATTTTGGTAAGTTAAATGAAGTTAATTTAACTTATGGTAAGTTAAATGAAGTTAATTTAACTTGGAAAATGAAAGCATTTGCAACTAAATGGCCAAGTTAAATGAAGTTAATTTAACTTGGGCTGGTTTTCGCAATTTAATTGGAAATGCTTTCATTTTCCAAGTTAAATGAAGTTAAATGAAGTTAAATATATACATGTTTGTGGCCATGAGCTAGTTTGATAAGATTTTAGGTGAACAACACAAGGTTTGAGGATTGTGCACTACATTCCTTTTGGAAACAGTGCATTTCAAATATCATTTCCAACAGCTTTTTCTTGGTTTCTTCATTAGTGCATTCTCTGCCAAAGATTTTGGTAGCTGCCAAAGACTTTTCATTGCAAACAGACATTCTGCATTTTGATAAGCATCACTGCAGCTTTTGACTATCAAGATACAGGTGCACCTCATTTGACACAGAGGCTGCAGGTTCTGCAACTGCCTCAGGCTCGTCCAGGGCCAAGGATGCTGCAGGCTTCTTCAAAGCTGCAGAGGCTGGCCTTTTCATCGGTTTGGAAACAATGTGCAATGCCAGGTTGGGAGTATCTGACTCACACTGCTCCTCATTGCCAAATTGGTACAGCAAAAAGCCTTTGTCCCCAGGAACACATTGGGCTTCCAATGTCTCACCATTGGCTAGCTGCCTCTTCATGACACCCTTCTCCTGGTCGAAGAATTGCAAAAGCACAGCAGCAGTGTCTCCATTCTCGTGTTCAGGAGCTACTTTCATGTCTGCAACAGGAGGGGCATTCCCCTCCTGAGAAGAATAATCCACTGCAAACACTTGGGATTTCATGGCTCTCCTTTTGGAAGGTGGGCTCACTCCATAAAGCTCACAGGGATTCACTTTGCTACTGCTGCTAGCTTCAGCTTTGCTGCTGCTGGCAGACTGAGCAGCCGCTGCCACAGGCAAAGAAGCTTGGGAGAATGAACGCTTGGGAGCAGCAACTTGGTGACTGGAAGGCTCCAGGTGATCCCATTTAGACATGGCATCCATCACCCTTTTGACAGCAGGATGGGTTTTGGCACCACTGGTGGTGCTCTTTTTTTACTTCTGCATTCAACCAAAGCAGAAGCCAGTTGCCTGCTAAAATATTTCGCTTCATCCACACTGGTGCCCTCAAAGGTCTTCAAGACAGCAGTCTGCAAAAGAGTTCTGTTGACCCTGGGTGTCTTTGACAGCAAGGCCAGCAAAAAACTCTCATAGGAAGCTACCACCATGGCAAAGTTCGTGTCTTTGTAGCCATCTCCCTCTCCCTTAGGAGCTTGTTGACATCTTCCTGGCTGCAGGAAGTGGATGCTCTGCCAAGTTTCCCTTGGCCAGACATGGTGACACACAGCTGGCCTAAAGCTTGGGAAAGAAAAGGCTGCAACATGTATTCCTTGGCCTGGCCAAACACAAATTCCACACAAACTTGCACAGCTCACTGCAAGGAGCTCCTGACATGACACAAGGAGCTCCTATGAGTCATTATCAACAAGAAAACTATAGTTGTTATGTAGAAAAACATACCCTTGAAAACCCTCTAATTAAGGTCTATTGAAAAGACCTTAATTAGAAGGTTTTCACCTTAATTAGAGGTTCTAAATTTAAGGGGTTTTCATTTAGAGGGTTTTGGGCTGTCTGGGTGAAACCGATTCCGATTCAAGGGATGTGATCGCCAACGTGTTTTGGGGCATGGTTCGGGATGTCGCTGTGCACACGACAAATCTCTGGGTAGAGGATGCGCTTCAGTTTGAGAAGAAGATCTTTGCTGCTGAATCTGCTTGTCAAGCAGGGCTGGATTTGTGCGATCATGAAACCACCCCCCTTTTGCACTGCCTGTTTCAATCCTCACGTGGTTTTTTTCAAGATCTGTACAGCAACATAGTGAGGATTCAGTTCGAAAACGCCGTGACGACCATGCGCAAAGGGCAATAGTCTTGAAGCGGCAAGTTGTGCACTAAAGACTTTTTGGAATGGTTGCCAAACAAAGGAGAAAAAACAGCGCCAGATTCAAGTAAGGTGAGATAAGTCGGCGTTTGTCCTTTTCCTTGCAGTTTGTTTGTCTTTCTTTTGTCTGATGAACTGTTGCTGAAGGCATCTGAAGGCTATTTCTTCGGCGCCAGAAGCTTATTACATCAAGTTGATAGCGAGTTCCCTCAGCGCTATTCTATTCGAGGTGCTGACGTCAAGCTTCCTTGCAAGCTTGTTTCCAAGCTTGGATTGGGTCCAGCCAAGATAGAAAACGGGCTCACTTGACTTGCTCTTTGTGCGTTTTAGCAAGCGAGGTGTGCGTTTTCCGATTCTTTTTCAATCCTGATCCATGTGTCTCTGACTCCTTTGAACGGGTTTGCATTTCCCCTTTGACTCAAAATGTCAAGCCAGCTGCACTGACTGGCAATTGCGGTTGTCCGTGATGGGCAAGCGTGTCTCTAGCGGAAGTGGCGCTGGCCGCAAGAAAGTGAAACACGCAGTGCCGGAAGCTCCAGACATACCACATGTGAAACGCATCACGGATTGGTTCCTTGCCTGACAGGTTTCATTTTTGCTGAATCATTTTGAAATGATTGAACATTTGTCTTCTAGTGTCCCGTTGGTGGGCCATGGTGCCTCTACCGTAGGTTTGCTTCAATCGTGGCTCCACAGGGCGGGCCTGACCGGTATTTGATGAACAAGTACAGCACCAAGGCTGGAGGGGAAGAGTTTTCGTTATGACAGTGATTGCAATACTGTGGCCTTTCATGTTGTGTGGTTTTATTTTGGTGCAATCTATTGGAGCCTTTCAGGCCGAACAATCCGGGTTTGCGCGTTGGCTGGATGATTCATTTCCAGCATCTTCAAGGCAAGGCTTGCTTTCAGTGAATGTTTAATAAACATGATTGCTTCTGATTGTGCACCTGCTAGCTCTCATCACACCGATGTGTAATGCAACCTGCAAAAATTTGATGGTTTTTGAAATGTTCATTGAACCGTTGGCAGGGTGACCTACAGCACAAACCTCGACCCGGGCCCCAAGACTTTGCGCTTGTGGCAGTTGGGATTTAGAACCGATTTTGGGCTACCCGGGATGTCGGATCCGGAAGACATGATTACACTGATGCAAATGATCCTTGTACAAGGGTTCCTTTTATGCACTGGGAGTTTTGTGTTTTCATTCTTTGGCTGACAGATTCTTTTGTTGGTGCTTGTTTGATTTGAAGGTTCCGGACAAACGCCGACGAGCCCGGAGTTGAGAAGTTGAGTGTGTGGCCGCCAAATCCGGCCTACTTGGAGAGCAAGTACACCCCCCTTCCGCCATTGAATACTGAAAGCTGCACTTACCTGAGAGAATACGCTGTGTTGGTATGAAATCACATGAGCAGCGGAGTTGAAAGTAAAGCTACAGCTAGTTGCTTGCAGTAAGCTGCGTTTGGCAGTTCATGAGGTGAGGAGTCCATCCGCCCTTTTGCGGTGGCGTATGTCAAAGGTTGGCGGCGTTCATTGGCAATGCTGATTTGCTGTGAGGGGGTGAGAGTCCTTGGCATAGACCTGGAGGATTTGACGGAGGCTTTTAAGGCAGTGGTGTGTTGTGAAGTTCAATACATGTTTCTATTGCAATGCTTTGATGGGGGGGAGTTGATATTCTTGCGGCGTCCATCTTGGTCAAAGTTTGACAGGGATCCCTCAAAGCTGTCTATGCAAATGTGGGGCGGTTCTCCACCACAAGGGAAGCAGTCTACGCATCTCGAGGACTGGCGTTCATTGCGCATATGTTTCTCAATCGTTGTGCATCCTAACCTGCCGGTTAGTCATTTGGTTGTTTGCACTTGTCGCCGGAGCGATCGTGCTGTGTAGGAATCACCATGGCACATGTGGCAACCCGGCGGGCTCCTAATTGCTTCAATTTCCTCCGCCAGATGGAGGTGCTAACAAAAGCTGGTGACGCAGGCAGCAACTTCAAGGCCACTGCTGAACTTTCCTGGCTTTGACTCACCAGATATAAGTTGGAGCACAGAAGCATGTGAAACATCTATTTGTGGCTCGCATTGACCAGTTTGTGTGTTGGTCACGGAGTTCACAACAAAAAATAAACACATGACCGAGCTTTGTGCAGGACTGGGACAGCGCAACCCAGGTTGCACGGGCCTTCAACATAGGACGGGCAGAGTCTACCGCAGTGAGTCATCTCATTGAGAGGATCTCCAAGCCAGTGGTCGCAGAGCTGAAGGAGGCCAGTCGATGCCGCGGGATGCGGCAATGGCTGACCCATGAAGTGATCGCCAAGGAGGCCTTCAATACGAGTTGGTCATCAGGGACGGGCGCTTTCGCTGCTTGGTCGGTTGAACTGACGAATGATGCCGACGACTGTTTGGCCACTTGGTTGCCCTCAAAAGTGAAGAGCGTGTTTTGAACTTTGTGTTCCAACCAAAGCCGCTTTCTGATTTGTATATGTCAATTTGTTGGGTATGAAGGTGAAAATGTTCATCGAACGACTGAAGAAAGATTGGGACCGACTTCCTCCTGGCCTAAAGAAACCATGGGCGTTCAAAGATGCTCTCCAAGTCCACGCATCATGCGGGGGCTTCATCACAATCTTGGAGACTTTGCGGAAAAACATCCCGAAGGCTGACTATGACACAGCTGTCACCACATTGCAGGAACAATTCAGTTTGGGCTACTTGGACCCAGATATTGTAGCGTTCCTGGAAAACGGCGTCCCTCCTGTCCAGCTGGCGGAGGTCAATTTTGTGAGGAGCGGGATTTGGCTGACCCAGAGTTCAATTAATTCTTTGTCACAATTGCACTTTTTGCGCGTGTTTTTGTGAGTGTTTTTTGCCTTGTCCTCCTGGGCGCAAATGTGTCTTTTGCACTGACTGGTAGTAGGAACATCGTGACCTCTGTGGAGCAGCGGAAGCAGAACGAAATGCACGAGAAGGAGCGGGAGTTGGCGGAACGTGTGGCGGCTGCTACAGTGGAACAGATCCGCCACAAGTTCAACCAAGATGTCGACACATTGAAAGCAAGAACCCAATGCCGCGATGAGCTCGCGTTGGAAGCTGCGAAAGATGCCAAGTATCTTGCTCAACGGCAATCGAATCTTAGCGTGAGACTTAAGCAAAGTTTAAATTTTGAAGAACAATGCGAGCCCAACAGTTTTAAATCTGAGGGGTAACACGCAGTGAGTTGAACGTATGGCGAACGCATGGACCGCCAGGAAGGGGCAGCAGTACACGAAGGACTTCATGGACAAGAAATGCAAGTTGAACTTCGTGGGGGATGGGAAGGACTCGTTTCCGGAAGTTGCCAAGTATCTCTCGCAGTTGTCTGCAGACGACTCTGTTGAGAAAGTGTTTCTCAGCTGCATGGCGGGGACAGTTGTTTTCATGCTGGCCGCTGTGTTTCAAGCGCCTGAGAAGCGCTGTGATTGTTGTACTGCCTTGATTTTTGGGCTCATTGTTCATTATTAACCAGGTTCGTGATGGCGAGCCTGGATTGCTGTGTATGGCCTTCTAATAGCGCCTACCTCGAGAACTGCTTGCAAACATTCCGCTCAATCCTGGCAATGTCATCTCAGAATGCTGGGCACTTGCAATTACCGCTAGCTCAGCAGCAGACTGCCAACACTGCGGTGTTGAAACACCGAAACCGTTTGCAGTACTTCATGCTTGAGGCCAAGCTTGACCCAACGATGGAGGTGGCGTTGATCTTTGACAGATCCAATGTGACGACTGAGAAAGATAAAAGGAAGTCAACGCATCCATGCCACTTTGCGACGGCAGAGGCTCACACATCTAATGCGTGGCGCAGCAGTGCAGTTCCGGAATCTGGCACGATTGGACCGTGCCCCCTGATTCGCTGCACGGACATGTTTGGGTATGACCCGGATTGCAGGCCAGGGCCAGCAGCAAGAACTGCGCAGTTTCTTGGCTGTAATTTGGGCGATTGCTCTTCAACATTTTATCCCATGTCTTTGTCCGGGTTGGAGGCTTCAGAGGTGGGATGGGGTTAGCGGGACGGGGGATTGTGGGCTGCTCTTTCATCAAGCATGTGAAAATGAGGAAAGGCGTGCCAGCGCACTTGCAAATTGTGCAGAACTACCTGCGCGGGATGGCGTTTGGGGACAAGGATGTGGTGGTATGGGTGGACATCTTGCCGAACAGGCAGGAAAGCGAAGCGTAGATGATTAGAGGGCTTGGTGTCAGATTTCAATCAATACATTCCATGGTGCACTGCATTGAATTGGTGACTGTGGTTTAGGTTCCTGAGTGCAGGTACTGCGAGTTCGGCCGTGCTGTGTTGGGGCGCCTATTGGATTCCAATGCAGGCCGCCCACCTGTCTTCTACTATGGCTGCTTGCGTGACGATCAAAAAGATGTCAAGGAGGCATTGGAGGACCTCGTGTACAACTTCTGGGACCAGTCGGATGCTGCGCCGCCCAAATCAAGGCCAGTGGAGACAGTGGCTGACCCAGATCTGGTGCTGCTGAGCTGGTCCAACGGTCAACCAGCCTTTCCAGAACAATTGCTCAGCAAATTTTCTGAAGGATCAGCGGGGCACAAAAGCATCCACGACATGCAGAAGGAGCTTCTCACCATGTTCCCCAATGCACAGGTCCAGGGCTCCCCAGGAACAGGAAGAGGCGGGAACCCACGAGCGACGGGCAGGCCTGACTACACTATCGACGGCGGAGGGAGGCCCTTGGACTTTACCCGAGCACTGGACAAGACCATTACTCCCAAGAGCTCCTTCAGTGCGGAGAGGCGAGGCGCCTTCAGCTTTTCTTTTGCCTGGCAGCGTCCCCAACAATGGTTAAGAGTTGAATAGAGCTGACTCTTTTTTGTTTTTCGTGTGTGGACCTGTCCTGCATTTCGCTCCAGGAAGGTGTATGTGGCAGCTGCCAAAGGAAAACCGTCTTTGGTGCTTGACACCAACTACGCTCTGTGGGTTGGCAATGAGACGGACGAGGAGACGACTTTTGCACCCTCTGAGATTGCTGGCTTCAACCTTGGAACGTTTGAGGAGAAGGTGGTTTCAGGTGCAGCAGTAGTGTTTTGATTTGCCAACTTTCAGCTCTACAGAATTGTCTTACTATGATGTGCGCCAATTCTGTGTACCTCTGTCAGTCTGTCATGACTGAGGCATGGGTGAGAAGGAGCTCTCAGGCATCCCCTTTCGGTTTCCCAGCGATCTTTGCCTTGTCTGCTACGAGAAGAAATTGATGTCTCTGGCCGACTTTGCTCATCAGATTTGCACAGTGCACGGAGTAGCTGATTTTGAGCTTGCTTGCCACCAGATCTCTCAAAAGATGTACCCAGTGACAAGGTTGCAACAAGTCCTTTCAGGCTAATCCATGGCATTTTGTGGAAATGATTTGACAACAGACTGCCTGGGCTTTGCTTTGCGTTTCCAATCTCAGTGGGTCCGGCAGAGGTCAAGCCTTCGGCGCCGTTTTTCTGTGTATTTTTCACTGTTAGTTCTTGTTCCGTGCATCCTTTGGCCCGGGCGATGCTGTGTCCTGATCGCTTGCAGGCAGCTGAAGGAAAAGATGCCATTCCAGTTCCTTACCGCTATGGGCTATCTCCAGCAAGAAACGGGAAATGCCAAGTGTTCAAGCCTCACGCAGTCGCTGCTGAGTCTGCAAGGCGGGCCAACCCTTGAGTCGCGCAATAAGAGTCTCATAGCAATAGAGCTCGACTTCATTGATCTCATTGGGGTGAGGCACAGCTCCTTTGGAGCTTCGTGGTTGGGGCACATGGATGCTATCCCAAATGTGGTTGCTGGAGCTGGCCTCGTGTGGGAGGTACCTCAGTGCTGCAGCATACTACCCTTTTTGTCATGTGTCTTAAACAGGTTGCGTCTGATGTTTGTTGGCGGAGGTGCAACTTGCCACTGGATCAGGGGCGCCGAAGATCTATGGTGTGAAGCCGAAGCTTTTTTTGACAGGGAATTTGACCCTGGGGCCTGGCACATGGGCCAAGATCTAGTTCTTGCAATATGCGGCCTGATTTTGACTGATCAATACACTGGCTGGCAGTTCGGATAAATGGAAGAACATCGCAACCGCAGTCGATTGTTTTTATAGGATGGCTACCAGATTGTTGAAAAGAAGTTGGTGTCAGAAAGTTGGTAGTAACTACCGTGGAATGGCCAGCAGTAGTGCGCCCTTGGATTGCAGCGGGATTTGAGCTCTCAGTTTTAGAAGGCTTGCCTTGGACGATGGCGAACCTGTTTCGGCCAGTGACACAGCTTTCCGATGAAGAAGCAAACCCTGAGGCAGTCACTTCTTTGGACACTGGTGATTGCTTGTTTGCTGCAAGTGGTTAGTGTTTGCTTTGTGATGAACGGAGTAAACGATTGGCTTCGGGATTGAAAACCCAGATCTAATTCACATTGGGCAGGCCTTGCCTAGCGGCGGTGATTCCAAGCCCAAAGCGAAAGCCAACCCAAAGCACAAGACAACACCGAAAGCCAAAGCCGAGCCGAAACCCAAACCCAAAGCAAAGCCCGAACCGAAACCGACAGCTGAACCCAAGACCAAGGCAGGCCCGAAAGCTGAGCCAAAGAAAACACTACCGAAATTGAAACCAACACCCAAGGTGAAAGCCTCCACTTCAGCTGATGAGGAACAGCCCGAAGCGCCCACTCCAAAAGCTGAAGAAACCACACCTGCCCCCCGAAAGCCAGCCCTCAAGCGTCCATCCGCAAATGGTGGAACAAAGGTGTTTGCCAACAAGAAGCCAGCAACGGCAGCAGCTGACACTGTCACAACTGGTCGTGAAGAAGGCTTTGTGTTAATTTGGCAATGATGTGCAGCAGTGTCCGTTTCAAGCTCTAGTCTTAGTATTCTTAGCGTCGCAGGCGACCCTGAGCTGAAGGTTTCTCCTCCTTACTTGTACACACGGAATACCCAGCGTGGGGTCAGCCAGAAGTACGGAGTGAAGTTGAATGGGAGTGAGGTCTTCACTGCCAGGGTCTCAAACACAAGAGTTTTCTTGAGACGTATTGTTTGATCTTACAGTCGCGAGGTGGGGGGCATAGGTGTCCCGCTGGAACGTGTCAAAGAGATTGCAGTCCTGCGCTTAATAAACGTTCATTATTGCATTGTCTCGTGCAAACCGACTGTTGAGGAAGTGGGCCGTCAGCACCTGTTGAAAGGAGACTCAGTTGACTTTGCGAAGCAAGTTGTTGTGGGGAACTCAAAACATGGATCCTTTTCAACGATCCTGGAACACCAACAGTATCAAATGAGGCGACCATGTACTCGGAGTTGCAGAAGGAAAGTCATGGCTCAGGTGAGTTGGTGATTTTTCATGATTTTTCAGCAGTGGTGCAGCGTGCTCAGGCACCAGTGGACCTGTGTCTGGGGAGGCATCTGAGAGCCAAGTAGCTGATGAATCCGCTGGCGTTGAAGGTGGAGTAAGTGTTGAAAACACTAATGAAGACATGGGTGAAGGGGCAGAGGAAGAGATCCCTCAGGCCATTGACCCTGAAGTGCCGGCTGAGCCGCGTGCTGTTGAAAACGTGGATTGACTTGATCGCAACTAACCACTGGCCTGGTGGTGTGAGAGCTTGAAAAAAGATTGATGGAACTGAGCGTGTAGTATGTTTTGTGTGTGTGAGTTGGTGTTTGTGTGTGCCACTTCCAAAGAACACGAAAATGCGAAGTTGTTGCCAGGTTTGTGTTTCACGAAGGGTGTTTTTTGAATGAAGGCATGTATGATTACAGTGAGGAAACACGTATATTATACAGTTATTGGGCTGCCAGTCCCTGCTGCCGGACCCTGACCCTAGCCTGTGGGCTGCTTTTTGTGAAAACCAGTGACTATGACTTGGGAGAAAGAGAGGGTGAGGCCCTTGAAAATGGAGTCTGTTTTTGGGAAGCGGAGCTGTGGTGTGAGCGGAGCTGTTGTGCATTGCGAAAGTGAAGGCACGATCGACCACTGGGCTATAACCAAAAATTTCAATGGTTGCGCCCCTGACAAAAAGCACAAGAAAATGGGAGCGCGAAGGATAACCTCGGTTGATGCTGTTAAATTAGAGCCAAAACTGGGAATGACTGGCTCCAGAGCCTAACAAGTGCTAAACTCATGATGTCACATTATTGGTTCATTGAGAATGATGACACCCCTGTAGCCTCAAGTGACATTGGTCAAAGGTCCAAAAACATCGCCCGCCAATGTCCAGATCGAGAACAATGTGATAATTCTATTCAAAAGACATCCATCTGACTGGGCAATGGGCCAAATTCAAATCAAAAAATTGGGCCCATAAATGGCCCTTGAACGAACCATAATTAGTGAAGTTAAGGCCAGATGTTGGCAAAGATCACAGCTGTCCCATCATGTGGTTGGGGCCATATTTGGCAAAAATCATCACCTGACCATCATCATGTAGTTGAGGACAGATGTTGGCCCAAAAAATTCACCACCCTCCCATCATGTCCAATCATGTATCTGAGCTCAGATTTTTAGCAACCCGGTTCATTTTGACAACCCGGTTGCAAAGAAATCCCTTTTAAATCATGTGATTGTTCATGATCAGGTCTCGGTGTGAGATGAGTGTCTGAATAATGGCAGTAGTATCAGGCAGCTCTCCCTCTGTTTCGAGAGCAGCATACCCCTCGTCCTTTTTGGATGGCTGCGCGCGAACGTCAGTCAGGCCAAGTGTAGGCCGAGCGGAGTCAAGACCGAAAGGACTGCTAAGAGTGTCTTTCATAGTCAGTGCTGCATAAGCTTCATTCTGGGACTGCGCCACACTAGCCCCCGTGCCCCTGGCAAAGCAGGCTTGTCCATCAGTGGTCAACCAATCTGCATGGTCACGTGTGAAGACAAAGGGAACATGGACTCTGTTCTCTGTATTATCCGTTAGGTCCAGTGAATTGCTGTCTTCCATCCACGGGTCATGTGACATTAGAGTTTCTCTGCTTGACAATGCAGGTATAGCCCCCGCCAACTAAGGTTGGCAGGTGCCCTGGCGGCACAAGCACACGAAAGGCAACACGAACGATGTCAGCTAAGGCTGACCTCACTCCTGCATGCAGGGCGCTACGACCTGCTGTGAGCCAAACGTTGCAGCAAGGTGCTTTCGTAAAGGATCAACTGTATTTAGCATAGTGCCGGGGACACCTGTTCAAACTATACAGCAAAGGAAAGAAGACTTTAGATTGTTTCAGGGGCATATCAGGGGCCCTGTCACTACTGATCGTGGTCATCAGCATGTGGGTGTAATAGAGAAATTAACCATGCTACGTAAACCAGGCCACACAGCTGGGTATGTAGGTCAGTCAGGGGAGTAAGAAGAGCACCCTGCACGTCGTGAAGCAAAGAGTCCACTGTTTGTTCAATTTCCTGTACCAATGCATGCAGACCTTGCACTCTTGCATGTAGGGCTGATTCGATCTGGTGGTGCGCACGGTCTGTGTGACGCTGTGGGGGTGGTTGCGCAGCTAGTTGCGTGTCTACTCGAAGGACATGCTGTTGTTGTCTGTCGGTAGTGGACCAAAAGCCTACTCGCCGAGGAAGGGAGGCTGAAAAGGGGCGTGTTTGCAGGAAGATGTCAAAAGGGTCTACGTTCTCAGCAATGGGCCTAGCGCTCACCGCTTCTGCCAGCACAGTGAGGAGGTGGCTTTCGTGATGCTGTATGTGCAGAATCATCCTGCGAAGCCTAGTTCGCTTTGTTCCATAGATTGTGGCCCCCCTGGTGTTGATTGCAATACAGCCCTGGTGATAGAGCGGGATGATGGCATCGTCCACGACTGCCCGAAGTTTGAGCAGGGCTGGCGGAAATTCAAACCCCTCCGTCCATTCTGGGAAAGGAGTGTTTACGTTTTCTTTGACTGCATCCACCGGGAAAAAATGAAGTAAGTAGCACCGCTCCCTTCTCCCCCGATAGACGAAGGTTACAATGAGGTCTAAGACCCCATATCGAATGTCCTGATGGTGGAGCTCAAAACGAACAAAATCAGTGACATCGACATACGTACCATCATCTGCCAGAAACAACGGTTCTGGATGCGCCTGCATGGCTAGTTCGACT